ACACCCTAGGCTAGCTTATGCTAATTGTAACACCTCTGATGTAAATAGGCCGCAACTAATATGTTATGATGACGCATAATATGGATTTCGAGTTCATGTATTGGCATTTTCCCCATAAAATGAAGGCATTATTACGGTCAATACTGTTCGGTTAATTTATGCTTAGCATACTTTGTTTTTAAGGTTGAAGTGATAGAGTTTTTCAAGGTTATACAAATTCATTTATTCGATCGCATTTCAGTTTTCGCAAAGTGGTTTCGTCGTAGCAGGGTGTTTAACGTAATGGCTTATCGGTTGCGTCTTACTGCGCAAACCACTGAACTACAGCTTGAGAAGGTGTGTATGAGCCTCTATCGATATTCATGGCGTTTTGAAGGATTTATTGCAAATAAGAAGCGCTTGGCAAGTTTTTACATCCATTTTTCTTCAACATATTTTATACAAGAAAATCAAATAGTACAGCCATTTTGAACAAAAGAGGCAAAAATAAATTGATTTAAAACCATTGTTTTAAAACAATTCTTTTTGAACAAATCCATAATCACAAGGCGATGTGAAGAATTCCATTTTACTCCAGATAAAACAAGATGCTTATCACCAGAAAAATACCTTTATGGCGTTTGATTTTTCCCGCTAAATAGACTCATAAAATTATGAGTTGGTATTTTAAACAACTCATAGTGTACGTTTCTTGTAATTGAAGTTTGATTAAGGCTCCAATTATAGTCTGTATCTTTGGACACGTAAAATAACATCTATTCACTGCTGCTTTTGACAAGTCACAGATATTTAAAAACAGATATATCATAGTTCGGAATCATATATATATATATATGCTGTTTTCTCGACCGATGTTATGATATATACATAAAATAAAAGTATAAAATAAAGCATATATACATTTTTCAGTTTCCTTTTTTGTTTCGAAGGGTAGTTTTTGAGACAGGGGTGTTAAAAATAAAGAATTGACCACATACAGAGGTACATTATTTAAAAATAATATGCTGTCACCTATCTTAAAGTATGCATGGGTCTTGTAATATGTTTCATAAGAAAGATATTCGACTCGTTGTAGTGCAGTGGTTCTTAATAGTTTTTTGAACGCGACCCAAATCTAAGATTTATGAATACTCGCGACCCCATCCTTAATTTTGCAAAAATATATTTTCAGTGTTAGAGCTCTTCGACTCAAATACAGTCAACGATTTATCAGAAACAGTACATTGGCACAGTCCTTTATTATATCTCCTATACACGGCTCTATTTTACTGAGCTCAATGTGGAAGTCAGCACTCGAATCGAGGCTCGATTGCGAGCCTTACTTTTAATAACCGTCAGTGCGAAAATCCTTGCTCGCATAGATACGCGGTTGCGAATGGTAGGAGAAAAGTTATTTCTTCGTTCCCAACTATCTATACCGCTGTTTGTAGAAAAAATGACATCCTAGCTGAGCCTTCGGTCACTCTCGCAAATTTTCACTCATCACGTGTGCTCACAGTACTTTGTTCGCCGTTGATGGGGCCTCGAGCTAAAGCCACATTCTGACAGGCGAGCTTCTTTTTGCCTTGTCTATTAGGATTCACATTACCAAAGAAGAGATCCATTTTTCGTTATTTTGTTTCAAAGAGATGATATTCCGCGCGGTCAACACAACAAGCCACGTGCATGTTTACCGGCACCCATAAAACAACGTGACACGTGACTGGTATATAAATTTGATGCAACAATGAACTCAAGACAGTTTATTCTGTGTATTTCATTGTTTTTAAATACCAAAGATAAGAAGATAAATTGAGACATTGGACCGGCTCAAATATTCGGCCACCTCCTCTTGGATCGCCCTGCATTGACGACCTAGGCGCGACGCATTTTTATACCTTCCGCGACCCGCGACTTTAAGAAACACTGTTGTGGTGTAATGATAATTTTTTGGTAAATAAAGTAGCTCTACAGAAAAGATGCATCTCTTTGCATAGAACGTTTCGTGGTACATGAGAATGGCTCCAAACTCTCAATCGATACTAAGTGTATCATGCAATGTGCATATCATGTGATCTAAATACCAATCGTATTTTATGTGCCACCTGGTACCACTCAGCGAAGCGTAAATGTCATTCGGTTTTATAAATTCGAATTTCTTAATTTAAAAATTCGCGTTGTATATTTAAGTCTAATCGTAGCTTCCTCGGTACTATCCCAACGGCTCGTTTTTTAAGGTTGCGGTAAAATATACGCGCGAGTTACTTCTCACCCCAACTTTTCTATAGTCGTATGAGCAGGCCTGGAGTGTCTGATCATTGTAATCCATTAATGGTCACTCACGGCAACGATACAGTTTAATGGTAATGAGTAGATTTTTGGAGTGTGGTAACAATCAGAATAACTTTATATAAAACGTGACTCATTTTTTGATTACCTGAGCTTAACAAATATTATATATATGAGTGTGGACTCATGAATATGTTGAATATGGAACAATCACACACAACAGCAACCGTGGATACAGATTCAGTTGAAAGCAAAACTTTAATATGGCGCAATAGGCCGTATTTTAATGAAGAAACACGATTTGTCGTTATGTGGGGTAGACTTTAGACAGTTCAATACAAACCTTTTGAATCCAACCTACCTGTCAAGTGTCTGGGAATAGTACTCCACGAGCGGGATTTGTAAAATTATTATGTATTCTTTGAATTATACAACCAAACTCTCGTTCATACTTCGAAAATTTACAACTTATGACATAGGAAATATATATAATTTAACAATTGAAAAGTTGATCCGTTCCTATTATACCCTCTATCTTCTAATACTTTCTCCGTATTCCTCGTATTTTATACAATGCACATGCAATAAGAAGTGAGTTGAGTTCAAAAAGTCATTATAATACATTGATTGGACTTTAATTCCAAATATTATTACCACAAGCTGCAGTGATATTCACCGAAATATAAAACCTCAACAGCTTTATATTAATGTTTATTATTTTTCTGGAAGTACAGGACGTATTTAAAATTGCATTTCCCGATCAAATAAAGTTACGCGACCGTAGGGATTTGTTCAAAACGAATTTTTAATCCATTGTTTAAACTTGAGTTTTTTGCCTGTTTTATTTGAAATGGCTGTAATATTTGATTTTCTTTTGAATTTTGATGTAGGTACTAATTTGGTGATAAAGTTGAGCGATGCAAGTTAAAATCAAAGCAAGAATTTATCCTACCTATTCGAAAGGGTTATTCTGGCAACAAGTGTAGCTGTCAAAACCCACCATTTTGGCGTAGTTGCACGGCGATAAAAGAGGAATTTAAAAAAAAATACAAAATATACAGGCCCTTGTTTTAAAACGTGATGCTATTTTAGATTTGATGAATACAAAACCCTACGCGAACGTGTCGCATTGAATTGCTTTTATTTATCGTGTCTTCCGAGAGCTATTGGCTCTTTGTAACTCTTCCATTAGTACTATGGCCACCTTCAGTTGAAATATCAGGACGTTGTCTTGAGCATGCTTTGAAAAAGTGCAGCGTTATACACCTATTAGTTTCAGCTGAGTTAATTGTAAGCGGTCGTGTGATTCGGTTTTAAGAATATGGGTTTCACAAGCCATTCATTAAATATATATTCCTAGAAAAATGACAACGCAATGAACTCATAGAATTCCTCTTTTTTATTCTAATTCTTTAAAGTGTTTTGCAGAAAGTGTAAGAAATTCGCTAGTCCATTGTTCCATTAAACTACATAAATCCTTATAATTTCCTATTACTTTATAGTATCTTAGACAGCCCATTGTACGCTTCTTAGGGCAGGAGATTAGTGTTCCAAATTCCAAGAAGTTTGTGGAAGTACTTAAAAGGTTTATATTATTAATACCCGAACGTGTGAATCGATTCCTATTCTTTCAAAATTAAAGTGGTCAGAAAGAAAGACGACTAGTTTTGCTTATTGAATACAATTCAATTTTCTTCTCTGAATTTATTTCCTGGCCTTTTCCTAGAAGTGTCAACCAGTTACGATTTTTTATGGAATGAAATGATGTGCGAAAGCTATATAAGCATCTATATGCAGTTAGCATTTGTAGACTTGTGTACTCTTGTCTGCCAATTCGACATGTTGCAATATCCTTGTTTAGCATCATTGGTATACTTTCAAACAACGAGGAGGCTCTATCTGAATTTTTACCACTGGTTCAAGAACTTTTGATGCTTTTCTATATCAATTGGACCAATGAGATCATATTTTTAAAAAGTGTATTTATGTTTAAAGTAAAAATGTTTAATTTTGCATATTTCAGTTATTCAATTCTCAGAAACCAAGGACAACTAATAGTTTGCCTTCTCACGAACACGATGAATTTCTATCTAATTTCATTCTGCTTCTTTCTCTCAGTTTCGGCTGGTAAGTATTTGATGGAAAATCATTAAATTCAACGATGTCTGTTATGAGCATCCATGTTTCACATATTTCATACTCAAACGAAATAATATGACAAGATTAACAAAAAATATGTAATGCAAACTGGTCAGCATCTTGATTTTTTTTACAGAGAGTCAACCTATGTGTCCTGATGGAAGAACTAATCAATATTGCGAACCTTGCGGTGGTACATGTGACAGTCCCAATTTAGGTTATTTGAAAGCATTGCAGAACGGGTACCTAGCACCTTGTCCCCTCATTTGTTGGACAGGGTACTACTGCTCTTGCCCGGAGGGTTACATGCAAAGAAGCGAAAACGATATTAAATGTGTCAAGATTTCAACTTGCATTGCGGAAGCACAAGCAAGTATGATTTACAATCATGTTTAGAGACTGACTAAGTTTACTTGCATTGGGTTTTACACTGTATGTTTTATTTATAAATGAGAACATCAATATACTGGAATTTATATCATGTTGTGGTTATGCGTGGCTGACATATTGAAACTCATATCATTAATTCAGATGAGCTATAAAATATTGCCATACTTCTGAATAATATTTATATGCCAAAACCTTACTTTAAGAAATGTGTCCTGCTGGAAGTACATACTCTGATTGCGAACCATGTGAAGGAACATGCGATAATCCAAATATGGAAGGAGAAAATTCACCCTGCACACTTCAATGCAAGTTTGGGAATTACTGCTCGTGCCCAGAAGGACAGATGCAAAAGAGTCCAAATGAACGTATTTGCGTTCCCAAGGCCGAATGCATTGAGGCAAAAAAGAAAGGTATTTTTTTAATGTTACAATTTTTATTTGTAGGCAGAGATTTTGATTAAATTTATGAATAATAGGCAATGACTCAGAGAAAATATTTTACATTTGAACATATTTGAATACTTTACTATTCAATAAATAAATAGCTTTCACTGCTTTTTCTCCCGACCTATTTGCTACTTGTTTCGTAATATTTTTAATATGAAAAATCTGCTAGCATAATGTCAAATATAGTATTGTTGTTCTAATGATTTTTTTATTCCTCTAATTCTCATTTAGAAATGATGGAACACCTTGAGCTTTATGTAAGATACTTATTATTAAATTTTTATTTCTGGCATGAAACTTTTGATTTATTTGCATATGGTATTCGATCTTAGTAATTCGTAATTCTCATATTCGTTCGCGCCTATTTACTCAATACCTTAGTCATGATATTCTTAATTACGCATATCGAAAAATAATAATCAGAGTTGTTTGGACAATGATTTCCATTCGGTGTTCCGCGTCACCCTAGGGTTCCGGCGCAAGTGTCTGCATATTGTTTGAATATTATCAAATAGATATTAGATTTTTGACTGTTATTAAACTTGCTACACTTAAAAGCAATTCAGATAATAAAACACATTTAATCTATTGCACAAGGGTTTCCTCGGCCTATTTTCAATCGGACAATAAGTCAAAGATGATTTAAAAAAAAGTTTTTGGTAATTTTGTTAAAAACACAGCAGCTGGTATGTACCAGCCCACAAAACAGCAATATCTGATTAGATAATTTACTCCTGTCTTACGTTGTGAAAGTGACAAAGTCTGATATTTGTTTTTTTCGTCTCTCCTGTTTTTTTTTTTATTGTTACAAAGCAATCAGAATCGGAACAACTAGGTACAGTAATCCAGGCTAACAAAAATTTACAAACATTTATTTCTGACACAGAACTGCAATGAAAAGGAGAAAAGGGGACATTGTACTAGAGAATTTGACCCAGTATGCGTTGCTACAGGGTTTTCAGAAGACGGAGAGATTCTGTTCAAGAGTGAAGCAAATAAATGCATGCATTGCGCATTAAGTGAAACGTAAGTAATATAAAATTTGAAAATATTGAAACCGCGTATTTTCAACATGAGATTTAGTATCAAAATTCATTTTAAGCAACGATTTTTCTTCCTAAAAACTTGTAGCACTCATAAGAAATTCATCAACTCAGTATTTCATTTAATTTTTGTTTAAGCAACAACGGTCGATTACACTCAAGATGTGCAAAAGTAACTTGTCATATTTATCCTTCCTCGTTTGTCTCCGACAATGAATTTTACTTCAGATTACTCTTTTTTATAAGAAAATATAATTGTGTTAACCGTAAATTCCCCCTTTTTCAGATATCGTTTCTACAAAGGAAGTTGTCAATAGATGTTTTACGCATCATCATCATCATTATCATCACAAGACGATGTGAAGAATTTAATTTTAAACCAGATAAAGAAAGATGCTTATCACCAGAAAATAAACTTTATGATGTTTGATTTTTCCCCGCTAAATACACTTGAACAATTAATAATTACGACCAGTAAATAACTCATTTAGTGCATGCCTCTTGCAATTAAAGTTTGATTTTTTCGTTAAATATTTCAAACAAGTATAATAACATCTATTCATTTCTGCTTCGGACAAGTCACAGATATAACGTTGTTTGGAATAGTTTATTTGGTGTTTTCGTTACCGGTGATAGATGTATGAAATAAATGTAGAAAATAAAGCTCAAATGCTTGATTCAGTTTCCTTTTGTGTTTCGAAGGGTAGTTTTTGAGGCACGATGTTTTTAAGTAATGAATTGACCACATACAATAGAAAGAAAAATATAGGCCTCGTTGTATCTTTATGATGAATTTCGAAGAATAAACTAGCTAGTAGTCGTCGGAAAAGACGCATCTCTTTGTACATCTCTTTTGAGAAAAGCGATATGATATGGGGATTGGTATTCCATTTAACAGTTCATATCCACAACTATAAGTACAGTGTATTTCTTTGTTATACAAAGTTGTGCAGCCGTTAATAGCGCATAACATACTCTTGCGAACGTCACTATAAGCTGAAGAATTAAAGTTCACGAGTAGCGTTCCTTCACCAGAACCAACTTATTCTGTAATGATTACTATCAACCTAAAGTTGAATTAGGCGTTTATATCGTTTGAATTATCGAGAATACATCTAAATATCGCTGAGAATTAGAGTGTGGAAAAATTAAACTGCGCAAAGCTGTCAATTATGTGAATTCAAAAATAGCTTCTAAAAAGGCATTTTGATAAGCTAACATTTACAGTTGCTGGTTCAAGCATATATCGGTTGATAACATGCGAAATGTGTAATCAGCTTCAAACAACATAATCTCTTGTTTGCTTTTTATTTTATTTTAAAAATCTATAGATCGTTAAATAATTAGTGCAATACCCAACAAAGCCAGATTTACTTTGTCACGCATGTTTTTTAAGAGATCATTGCCTGATTCGCTTGCTTGAAAATGTATGAGCATTCAGTTGTGAATAGCTTATCCTTTGTTACAAAACGCTTTGAAATTTACTGCACACGCAAGCAATTCTGTGCATATATTTAAACAAATTGAAGAATACGGACACATCGCCAAACCAATATTTGCTATTCACTTAAATATTTTTATATGGCGACAGTGTGGAGATAATTAATACGTAAACGAAGCAGTTTTTTAATCATTAACTGGTGGAGATTCAAGCACCAACGAAAATTAATTGTAATTTTGTGGTAATAACATCACTGCCCGTTCCCTAAATATGAGCTGCTGTTAAAAATTTTCTAAAATTTACTCACGGAAACAAGAAAACATTTGAAGCTTTATTTTATATTATCTATATACTTGTTGGTTGAATTATCATGTTTGTCCATTTTGCATATTCATTTTCGTTGAACAAATATTGAAAATCCTTGGTGAAATATTTTCAATAACCAACTGACTCCCGTAGTGATTGGAAGATAATAAACAGATATTACTAAGAGAGTTGTTGAATTATGGATAGATAACTAGGCAATATAATTGGTGCATTCCCAACTATAATGTATGAAGCATTTGAAATCTCTTTTGAGGTGATCCATACAATACTCATTAATTGCTGATTAATAGAAGGGCCAAAAAAGAGCTGTATTGCAATAATTAGGTGCTATGTTCATTAGACTAAAATATTTACTTGTCTCTTAAACTAGCCCTAAGTGACCGGAAAAATATGTTCAATTCAGTGGTTAAAGATTAAAAACTGTATTTGTCGTTATTACTTTTATATATTTCAAAAATTTCTGTGAGATCTGTGGGATTAATATTTTGTGTGTGTAATGACGCCATCAAAATTGAAAATTGCGCACCTTGTTGCTGTTCCTGGTTCGAATTCGTTGCTATCTCGTGGCCAGGCGAAATCGTGAAGACTGCGATACCGGTAGTCTACTGTGGCAGATTGCATACCCGTATTACTTCGTTTACGTATATTTAAGCATTGCTCTCCTATATTTTAATCATGATTGCCGAAGTGTTGGCGTTGATATTTAATAGAAACGGAATGTGAAACAGATGTTAGAGCCTAAAATGAAAGATAATTCCTGGGCCGAAAATACTCGTCGCAATATAGGACTGTGACTGGCACATGTAAAATATTTTCATCAAAATCCATGCCGAATTTTTCATTGATTTTTGATTATCTTATCCTACTGGCTTATATAACAAGATTCAACATCTCCAAACACTCCAACCATAGGGCAATATTGACTCATGCTAGTCAAACATAAAAGCCATCTTTGCCAAACCTGCATGTATAGGCATTGTTATATTCTCGTAATATTTCACTATTAATATGTGTGCTCGGAAGTTTGTTCATTGTTGGGGATTCGTCGTGAGTTTTATAGTTGTAGTGCAATGCAATGATTAGTTTCAATAACGAAAAGAATTCGTCGTTGTGGCATACTACATGATTAAATTAAATAACGGCATCTTGCTATTGTAATAAAATTTATTGTAGATAATCAGACAAATGACCTCATGGGAGTTTGGATTGAAAGAGTGCTGTAAGTCATCAAGAACCGTTCAATTTCCCTTGTGACTATAATATTTTGGATTTCTAGGAATGGGTATTATGATATTTGCTCATTTAATTTAAATAAACATGATAATCTCATTTAAGTCAGAATGCAAAATCGCATAGGGAAAGTCAGTCACGAACTATGCTAGTGCATAACGGGTATAGGAGATAAGTGAAACAAACGTACGATGTATGTCACTTTTACACTTTTACGATTTTGTAATGATATTTTTCAATGGGATTTAATATTAATTTACTTATTCTAGTTCAACTACCATATTAATTTCATATAACACGGATTGCAAACAATGGACACAAACAAAAGTGAGTTTTGATTGTATTATTTACCCCCGATAACTCCACTAAATTCAGAAAGTAGTTTTCTGAATTGTTTATGACAGTTCTACTGAGGGTATTTAAATGAAGTGCCAGTTTAATAAAGAGGTAGTGATGGTCTTGGTAAAATTTCCACTCAAAACAAAGCATGCTTATTTTATTCAGATACACATATATATCCTAAGTTTTTTATCTGTACATATCACACGCTTCAAATAAGTCAAATGCATTTATATTTTATTGAATTGGTGGATCACGCTGCTCTTTTTTAAGATACTTCATCTGATAAAGATGGAAAAACAAATGAAAACGGAAATGATTTGAAAACACACTGGGGATGGGTTTGGTCTCTAGTCATGGCAATTTCGTTGGCAAGAATCGGAAGTGTGAGATGTTTATTTTTTATTTTGTGATATCTATGGTTCGTTATATACTTATATACATAATTTATAATGTATGCATAAATATGTATAACAATACTAAGAAATAAGTGACGAACATGAGTAACAACATAGGAATAAATAAAGTGAACAAGCTATTTATATAATGTTCTTGATTCACATATGTCCCATGCAGAAATTATCTGAAATTTTCAAAAATACACTAATTTCAAAGTTGTAGTTTTTATTTTATGGTAAATGTGATTTGTATATATACATAATGCGTTAATGACTGAAAAGTGAAGTATTCGAACCTTTGAATAATTGACTATATTCTTATTCTGAATTTTTCTATTCAAACGTAACATTCATGTAAAATTTTGTTTCGATATTGAATTTGATTTTATAATTAAGTAAGCAATGATAATTTGTTCTGATACCAGTAAAATTTGACATGGCTCTGTTTGAAAGTCGATGGCAAAATTTGCAATATTTTGATTTAATGTTTTCACATGTCGAAACAGGGACTTTTTATCTCCATACACGGACCAACACTTCTTTCTCTTGCGGAAAACGTTGGCGAAGAGGTTAGCACAGTATCATGGCTATTTGCTGGTCGATCTGCTGGCGTATTGGCAGGAGGAATCGCTACCGGGTTTATAATGAAAAGAGTGAACGCTGTGTATAGTTTTGGTAAATATATTTTTGACAATTGCATCCCGTATTACGCTAAAAATATAATAAAAACTTATTCAAAATTTGGATGTATTTTCAAAGTTTTTTTTACCTTTAAAAGATGTAATAGATGTTAGTCTCTCGCCTGGAACAGATATCATAACTACAATTTCCTTTGAAGATACATAATGTGAGTTTTCTCGACCATGTATCGAAAGGGTGCTTCTATTATTCAAGAGAAACTATAACATTTAACTTCTCACTTTTTGGCAAGTTTAATAGACTAAACAGGTTAACATCCAAGTTTTCTGTTTTGAGCGAAACAATTACACACCACATCGAGGCTATCTCTATTGCATCAGTTAGAACAAACAGCAACAATCTGTATCGTTGGATCGTAATTTAGAAAGCAAATGCCTGCAAGTGTTTACAGGCTGCATGTATAGAGCATGTGTAAAAATAGATCAAGTAATAGATCATTTACGTTTCTTTTCGTCGTGGAATGAGAAATATAATCTTGATATTTTAAGATTTTAAGTATTGAATTGATTTCGGTCAAAAGAAAACTTTTTAGTATAAGTGTGTTATATTGACCTGGGTTACGTGGCTCACAGAATACACATATTTTGAAACTTTGTTATTTGTTTCTATAGGTGCGACCTGCTTTCTTTTGGCATTGATGGTAACTGCAACACCATGGGTCGTTGATCTATGGCTACTTGTCATAGTCGTGTTAATAGGAGGCATAACATTCGGATATTTGGATGCAGGTAAAAATAATATTATTTGATAAATTTTAGTTTAACCCTATACCAATATACATTCTGGCGACACTAAAGTATTTTGTCTTCCATAAACAGTGGATAGAAGAACTGGCCAGTGCAACAATCTTTTAACTCTGAATATATTTTTAAATTCATCCAGTTAAAATAGGTTAACTGAATAAAAATATCCTATTCATTTTCAACTAATCTGAGAAATGAACAAAATTTGTAATACTTTACAATTTGCAAACTCAGATTTGGGGTAAATTCCGCAGTATTTTCCGTATACTCCTTTAAAAAAGTAAGAAAAACTGACTATACTTCACAGGAATGCAAGCATTGGTTTTACAAATTTGGGGAGAAGAAAAATCGAGACCACATATTGCAGCATACCATTTTACCATAGCAGTGGGAGCGTTTTTTGCCCCTCTGATAGGTAATATAATATTTATATATACTCGGTATAGAAACTTCAAAGAAGTAATTTTAATTGAGCTGAACAATTAAATGGGAAATAAACTCGAATTAATATACTGAACCAAAGTCAATGTAACATTGTCATTTACATATATAAAATGGAAAAAAATATTTTCTCGTTGGGAGTCAAAGTTTGTGCAGAAAAAAAAAAATTCCACTAAAGTAACATCGTATATTTTCTACAAGAGAATATTCTTCAATACGTTATTTTATAATGAATTAGCCAGAAGTGTACCTGTTATTATTGCTTTTTTTCACGTAGCACAACCATTTCTGGAAGAGCAAGACCAGCAAGAGATATGTCCTGAAGATAGCGACAATTGCAAAATTGTACAGACAATAGCAAATAACAGCACAGTACCAAATTATGGGGTAAGTTCGCGTCAGTGAACTTTTTTCTTTATTTTATCTTTTTAACAAAAGTTGGATTTATAGTTCAATTTTTTGTAACTATTCCATCTCATTAGTCGAATTAAATATAACAAATATATATCATTCGTCTTATATTGACGTGCTATTATAATGATACCAAACAATTTTTTTTATGGATAGTCGACAGATGCGGAAACGAGCGGGGTCAATCCAATTGTTTGGTCATATCTGATATGTGGAGTTGTTCTTGTGGTTGTTACTATAATATTTGTTGTGTTGGGATTGTTGAAAGTGGAAGATCGAGTCAGGTAGATGCTTTTAAAAATAACTCGATGGTAATAAAACGATATGTATTCGAATTTTTAAATCAATTTTAAATATCAATGCAATTACCCCGATGTCAATTATTTATAGGTGTCGTAAAGATTTAACATAAAAAAATTAATTTCATTAAATTAGAATACAAACTTTGATTACAAGCTCGAATGATAGATGAAGACTTTTTAGAAATAACTTATTTTTTGATTGTGATTAAAAATTTTGTGTGGTCATTGTTACGTACTTCAAACATTCATAATTTACTACGACAACTTGAGACTATAATATATTATTTGCCCATATACGCATAGAAGTATAAAGGAGGCAAATATTGATGCAAGTGCAAATTTATTTAACTCATCGAAATTAACTGAGAAAACAAATTTGTTACACAACTTTAAAAATATTTTTTCTGATATCTTTCATTAACAAAAATTCAATTAATCAATAATCGTGTTCAGGAAAACTAAAGATGAAGTAACAGAAGATCGGGAGGAAGAAGGAGTATCAAGAGTTCTTGTTCTGTTTATTCTTGTATGCATCTACTACTTCTTTTGCGTAGCTGGAGAGACGGCTTATCAAAGCTATATCTATTCGGTTTCAATTTGCTCGGAACTATGCTTCACGGTAAATATAAAAATTGGAATATTTCAGGATAATCAGTATTTTATTAAAATACAGTTTGTCTCAAAAGTAAGTATACACTTTTAATTTTGATTTTCTTTTCGGGTACTCATCATGGACCGTTCATTTCTTAAGAAAACATAGTATGGATGAGTAGTAAAATTTAGGAATTGTTTGCATTTTTCATCATCCCACAGAAGGACGAGGAGAACAACCCAAGAAATGAGGAGCAAAATTGCTGTCTGACAAGAAGCCTATAAATCAGTAAGGCAAACTGTTTAACAGAGAATTTGGAATCAATTTGGCTCCTACACGACGAACAATTCATGCAATTCATCGTAAATTTATGGATACTGGATCTGTAGTTGATGCATAAATATCAGGAAGACGCCCTGAGGAAAACGTTCAGAGCCGAATGAATTCTAAAGTTGCTGTTGATAATCACTCGGACTCTAAGCGCATTTGAGCAATTTCAGACGTTTTGCAATGCTGTGTATAAACCATGAGGTCTGGAATTTAAAGAGGCGCTGAGTTTGCCTTACCGATTTATATGTTTCTTGCCAAACAACAATCCTGCACCTCATTTTTGGGGGTAATCTTCTTGTCATTCTACGGGTTGATGAAAAATGCAAACAATACCAAAATTTTACTATTTATCCATACTAAGTTTTATGAAGAAATGAACACTCTATGATGAGTACCTGAAAAGTAAATCGAAATTAAAAGTGTATACTTACTTTTGAGACACCCTTTATTTTATAAAAATATTATTGACTTGACACAATGTGAAGAAAAATAAAAGTATAGAAATATGAAAAGTAACACGGTGTTTTATTTTTACTTTAATATTTTGACCATTTTTGAAATAAGATATAACCCTTTTTATGTCTTCTTCAGTCTGAACCGTATACTTTTTACTGCCTTTTAGATAAAATCTTGTTACATTTAGTTTGAAACCAAAACATTATTTATCATTTCTAGCCTATAAACGGAACGTGGATAAACTCTCTCTATTGGCTTGGATTTGGATCTGGACGTTTGGTTGGAATATATCTGATGACGAAATTCAAACCAAAGACTATAATTATTGTAGACTTGTGTGGAACTATAGCTTCTATGATAATTGTATGTATATTTGGAGAGTGGGTGGCTGGCATCACGTGGGCTGTAACATTCCTATTCGGATTTTTTCAAGCAACAATCTACCCTGCTGGAGTTTCGTGGACTTCACAATACACCAATATGTCTGGCCATTACATTTTTATATTCTCAGCAGGACAAGCCTTGGGTAGCATGATACTTCTGCCGTTTGGAGGATTCTTATTTCAACTAGATCCTTTCAATGTCATGTATTTGATACTTGGGTGCACAGTATCCAACGCAATATTCTTCGGAGCAATGATAATAGAAGCGAAACGGCATCACACGAAAGGAGGTAAAACGTTGGAAGAAAATGATTACTTTACGGAAACAAAAATGTAGATTTTAGTTAAGTAAAAACAATAACTTACTAGTCATATCACACTTTTTTTTGGGAACTTTTAAAAATTATATAAAAATGTTACTAATAAAACTACATAGCACTATTTGTTTTTTGAATGTCAAGTAAAAAGTATTGTTTTTAGTGAGAATTCGTGTTATCCAAGTTACAATACTGGATTATTGGTATTTCGTCCTTAGAGGTTCTCATCATGGGTTAACAGAGCTGTGCGTTTGGTAAAGGAAACCGGGAAGTCCGGGAAACACTATCGGCATGGACAACAATATTATGAACTTCCCATATATCACATTGAACAGATAGATACATTAGGAATAGTTTATAAAGCATCCGTGAAGCAAAATGTTTTTATAAATCAATAACATGAGCAATTAGTGAAAATGAGACTAATTCAGGGTCAGACTAATAGTAGATTTTGCAAAAGACCGCACTTAATCATCTGTCAGCATTAATTCTATTTGAGTGTTCAAACCATTGTTGCAGCATAAATAAGCCATAGGTTATCTCCAACCATGGGTTCTACGATGGAAGTTCGATCAAATTGACTGGTGTATAAATGATAATGTACCGACATATCGATTACTAATCAAGTTGAAAGTTCAAACCCGAAACCGATTTTTCGATAATTAATTCAATAAAATATTTATGCAAATAAATCAGGCAAATATATTTGTTTCAAAAAATGCAGCTGAATATCATTTTAAAAGTAAAATAATAAATTTAACTTTCACGAATGAAAATTTCTGAATGCAAATTCTAATTCTTTAAACAATACCCAAATCTGATTGGTCCTTTGTATGAACACATAAATTTTTCAATGTCATGATTGGGGAGTAAAAACCACGATTGACCAAAGCATCCGAGATCATTTGAAGCTGGAGTGCAGTGATTTGACGAGTTCTTGCTTTCACAAAGGCTGTCCAATCTTTAAAATAAATGCACGATGAGTTAATTTTTATTGGCGAAGTATCTAGAGAAATTATTAAAAAAAAATTCGAATATATTTGCAACAATGAGATCCACCATTAATTAGTACAGCACAATTAACAAAAGAAAAATACATTAATAGTATTTATTAAACTTTTTTAAAATTTGGCATTGCAGACTTAGGGTTAGCAATATTTACTAAAATTTGTATGCATAATTTACCTTTTTCAAGACAATTAATTATAATAAAGTAATTTTGGTAGTCAGTGATGAACGAAAATCCCGCTTCCAAGTTTTGCTGCGCTTCTACGTTAATATCTGAAAATACCAATAATAAAATGAAAAATAATTCTAACAACAACATCATGACAAAACGATCTATATGTGCATTTCGTGTCCAATAACAAACGCAAATGGGTTTCTGCACCACTAGTTCCATCGCTTGCATTCCAAAATTTTGAAAATTCTGTTTTAAATTGTTTCAAAGTTTTTCACAAATTCAATTTTGTTGTTTTTGTTTGTAAGTACTCTGATTGAGTCTTGATAGCAGGTTCTACAACTATTCTCCGATGGCGACGCAAAGAGTATATAACATCTACCAACCTTGAATTGATGTTGAAACCGATTGTACCTGATTGAATTCTTGATAAATCTGTTTCAACTGCCTTTCTGCAGAAATAATATTAAATTTAAAGATGCAGCCTGAGAAAATATATGATGCATACATGCATATCCAGTATGAGCAATATTATATGATTATAGGCAAGCGTGAAGTGTAGTGATTTCCGCATTAAAATACAATAAAATAATTTGAATAATGAAATTTTTTATTTTTTCACGGTTCTACAATTTTTCAAAAAAATCAATTCCGTTGATGTTGTACTCATCAAAATATTTTAACTTACTATTACTGTTTTGTATATGGTAATTGCAATCATTTTCGTTTCTCTGGAGGTGAAGATCATGCTCTTCGCTTAAAATATCGAGAAGCTTATTATTGTTTAACAAATACGATGGAAGTTTAAAGACTAACGTCATATATTTCTTTTGGGTGCTCCTGAAGTATGCGCACCAAGATGTCGCATAACCTGAACCCTAACCTGGTACACAACCTGAGTTCAGGTTGTGCGCCATCTTGGTGCGCATACTTCAGGAGGTTCTTCTTTTGTCTACTGTCAGATACAGAGGGTTGTGGCTCAAATAAGTGCTGGTAAAGCTTTAAATATTTATCTTATGTAGCTCATCTTTGTAGCTGTTTCAACTGGCTTTATTAAGATGTGATATCAATAAATCTTATATATATATATATATATATATACATAAAACGATAAAAGAATAATTTCATGATAAAAGTTAATTTTCTATCTTCAGAAAATGCCATAATCTACTTTTTTCTTCTGTATAAATAACTACTCACCCGGATTTGAATTCCTTCGTGGTAAATTTTAAAGAGCTGCCGCCTTCAGTAAATGTGAAGTTAACGAAGTCCCAGCAACCCACGGTCTTTTCAGGAGTTGGAACATCTATAACATCGTACCATGGTTGCGTCTCATGAATCTGAATAAATATAATCAAAATCGCACAAAACGCAGTAACAAACCCCCGCTTCGCATTAGCAGGATTAAAATCGTCACCAACCGGTGGATTGGTACATATGATAAGCTACCATATGGCATATACTATGTATGATCGAAAGCATGAGATCTAAAATTAACTTACTCCGATTTGAATCTATATCAGTGCAAAAATGGCTTCAAGTACAAATATCTATCTTTTTTATTTTATTTTATATATAGCTATTACCTTCGTCCAGTTTATGTGGATCTCCACATGACGCACAGTTTGTTGTAAAATTTATCAGAATGACCAGCAATGTATATCCAAAAACTTCCAACATAGTGATCGTTCACAGCATACATGCACAGTACAGACTTCATCTGCCAATTTGCCTATTTAACCGGATTATAACCGCATAAAGGTAACATTGTTTTGTATATATCTGTCATATAGCAGTATGTCATATTCAGTGAGAAGTGAACGTGCTTCAGATGCATATTGTATATTTAGGCTTAATTGTGAGTGACTTTCACGATACAACTGAAACCTGGCTGGGTCATATAAATATATATTTGTTTGAGATTTCAGTTATCTATTTAATTCAATTTAATTAATTCACTTCATATTTGTTATTACATCCCAAGAATGATGAGTGCGATACACAAAACATATCAATTGGAGTGACGAAAATCTATGTTTTTTTTGTTCTCAATATTACATATAATTCAAAACAATTGATAAAAGAAAACGTGTCACGCTTTTCTTGACGCGTTTCTTGCTTTTTTTGCAAACAACTATATGTCGCAATGACATTCTAAATTAGGAATTGTAAGACTAAATCGCTCGTACTTCAATAGATTTAAAATGAAATTGTTGAATTTACCATAGATATTCAAATATAAATTTGGTCAGTCAATGAATATATAAAAAATTCCAACTGATTTTGCTTGAAAATTCCACATTTATTTTTAGTAAAATATCAAATATTATAATCAATACACAATACAAACATTGTCAAAAACTTACATGATTCATTGTTGAATTTACCATAGATATTCAAATAGAAATTTGGTCAGTCAATGAATATGGAAAAAATTCCAACTGATTTTGCTTGAAAATTCCACATTTATTTTTAGTAAAATATCAAATATTATAATCAATACACAATATAAACATTGTCAAAAACTTACATAGATTCATTTTTCTCGCTTCTAAACTAAAAAGGGAACACTTGCTCTATCACTATACTGACTGTTGTTGCAGTAATTTCCACGCTGTAGAAGAAACCATTGTTTTCTATGTGTACTTTGAAATTTTTACAGTGCCATCAGCAAAAAAGCATTGGGATAATATTTTTATTCACAATAGCTGTACATTATGATACATTAAGTTTGCTTTGGCGGATTTCGTTCATCCGGGGCTAAATTAACAAATCCGATATTTAGTAAACGTCACATAAACTAAATTTGAAAAAAAAGTATAAATGGAAAGAACTTGACACGAGCTTAAGCAGGTTTGAACATTGCTCTGGAATTTTTTGAAGTAAATTGATAAGCATCTCTCTTTCTTTTGCAACCATTTTAGCATTATTTTCATGTGTTTTCTAGAACTGTCTTTCAGACATTGTGATGAATAAGTAATCATAAGTGAAATAACTATGAGAAAACTCTAAAAGCTTAGTAAATATAAATTGGAAATTCCGATGATTTGCGAGACTTTGGTAAGGCACTTTTTGAATTCTCCAATAAAGACGCCGAAACAAGCAAATACGCCAAATAAGATGTACCAAATACAGATGTGGTTATTTTTTAATTTGTGGAATGGCAATTATTCTTTTTTTTATGTTCTATGTTAGAGATTGAATAGCAATTGCAATGATTTATTTAAAATATTTTCTGGAACTTTTTCACTAAAATCAATATTCAATAAGAATTATTATTTAAGTATCGAAATGATATATATATGGTCGATTTTTCCTATTCTCGTATAGAGCTAACTGCGGGTAAAAAAAGATATATAATTATTATGAAGTCTTCTATTTTCTACATGTAAATTTACCTATATTGTCGTTTCTATATATATATTAGTATAAGTATATAACTGAACAAAGTAGCATTATATATTATAGCCTGTATTTTTAGAACCAATATTGAACTATATAATACTGATTATGAATTTGATATAGATGTCGAAGATTTACATTAAAATCCGGAAACCCATTGGAACAATCCACAATGTTTTAACCAGTTCAACCTAAGTGGATAATGAGCAATACCTATCCAATTTTGATACAAAAGAACTATGTTCTCAAATTGTAGCAGACGAAAGGGCAACGAATGTGATATCAAATTAAGATAATATGTTAATAATGATTTATCCGTCATGATATATATATTTGATTTTGAAATGTAACTTGAGGCATACACCACAGCAGGCAGAGCGACAGAAAACCAATAATAAATTTTCATACAAATCATTATACAATTGATAATGCGTTCGTAACATGACATCTAGTCAGCTATAAAATAATGGATACCCTTGGTTACACAGAAATATTTGAACAGCGCAACCAACCGTAGCAAGATGAAGCCATTGAAGCATTGATTCAGTCAGTACGAACCTTTCAGTCTATTTATAAGCGTCTTGTGATCTCACAGAAACTACCATCTAACTCAGTTCCGGTTAACATCAGGAATTCAGACGTACGACAAGATATGTTGCGTCGTAGAATAGACTACTTGTCGTGTGAGAGTTCCGTCTTTGTTATGACTATCGAGACATATGGTCAGAGAAATGTATTATCATAGGTTTTGGATAATTCACACTGTCGTATAAGTAGGAATATTATTGGCGGGATGGTTTGTCAGGAATATGGGCCGCAAATTTTCAGTTTCTGCTTGTATTATAACATAATCCGTTCGCAAATGAAATTCAATATAGCGTATTTTTATAGATTGTTTCTGATTATTGCTAATGTTTTACGGTAACTAAAATCATTCTTGCTTTCGCCGCATTCATGCATATTTTGAGGTTATAGCGTGGTATTATGAGATGGATAGAACAACATTGGTAGGGTTAAATATTTAAAACTCAGCAGAGGCCAACACAACAAAGTATCATCCTTTAGCTTTCTTTGTAGCCAGTCATTATGTGATATTTTATGTTATCAAAAAATTTATTCGTAAATAGGATGTAATATATATTAAATACAAATACGATTTGTAATGCAATATTATTATCTGCAGATCATCTTCGATATTTTTACATTAATACAGCAGTTATTTAAGTTTAGAATAATGCGTGATTTCGCTTTTGGTTCAACATCAGGTTTGCTAGATATGTGATACTATGAAAAAATTCCCACCGCACAGAAAGCCATTCATGTAACATCACACAATACGCTAGTGATGACTTCATTTTTAAAATTGCCTACTTGAGGGGAATTATGCTTCCTTTTTAGACAACTACATTGCATGACAATGTAAATGGGCTGCACACAATAGTGACACGATAGTTCAATGAGTCACAGCAGTTACACTAGGTTTTGAATCACGCAAGCTTTTGAAAGAACTAACCTATTTTTACTACCACACGTGTAAAAATGAAGAAAACCGACTAATTCCCACATCACCGCGTACCCAGTGTGTGGCCAATCAAGGATAGCGATAAAATCCTAAAATGAACTGATATTGTATTAATATGTATGTGTATCAGTGCAAGATAGACAACTATAAAAGTTTCTTGTGTCACTCTGGTATTCGATCTCAGCGTGTGGGATCTCAGTGATATCAGTATCAACTATTAACCTAGGCCCAAACCAACCATGGCAGTGTTAGAGTTAGTAACTTAATTCTATAAGAATGTCTTGATGAGATTAAACGGTGACAGCACATTCGAACCCATAAATTTGCACTCGTATATCCGCGGGTTTAATCTATATGTGGGTGCTTAAATTCATGGGTTAGGGTTAGTATGGGTTCAAATATCCGTAGGTGCAAATTTTCATAGGTGCAATAGCATGCAGGTGCAAATGTCGTGGGTTCAAATTATGGGTTCGAATGAAATGGAACCAGATTAAACTTATACCCCAATTGGTTCCACTTTGGTATGCGATGGAGATAACGTTAAGCAAGTGATATCACGTACCAGAGTAGTTTTAAGACGTAGAGATTGCATACCAGAGTGGAATCGTTTTTTTTTTATTCAGTTTCGATATCCGTTCGTTTAGCTAAACGTATTTGGCAGACTTTTTATACCATAGTAAACGTTTTCAATCGATTTAATATCCTGGTCTATTTTTGAACTCAATTTCAATGCAGTATATCTTGCCATGAAGGCTTCGAGAAAAGGAGTTATCACCTGGGAAGAAGTGGTAGGTTTTTAACAAATTGATCCATAAGATTATAATAAATAGCATGATAACAAATTTAAGAATGATTTATCTGCATATTTTTTGGCAGTTCGAATACCGAGCAAAGCAGGAATCAAACAGGCCCATTCATGCAAAAGTCATTGTTGCCGAGCCCAGCGTTCCAAATGTGAGATCGGGCGACGAGGTATTTATTCACGAAATCAGCACCGATGAAATATCATTGAAGCGCCAAGCAGTCGGTAGGTTATGATATTTATTTAAATTTTTATTGAGGCATGTTGAGATTATTCAACTTACTGTTTTACTCTTTATAAAACAAGAAAGTGATAGTCAAATATGTGGACTTTATATACAGGATAAACCCCATAAAAAAGGAACCCATGAATTTTCTAGTTACTTCCGTGATGATGGAATGAATTATTTGATTTTTTTTCACTTGAACTTCTGTTTGTGTTATGTTCTCTCTATAATTTGTTCAAAATTTCTCTTATGCATAGGAGACAGACTTGTATCAAAATTTTCAATTACCCACTCAGCTTTCTGCTTAATTGCACTTGCTGCTGCCTGGGTATGTCGATTGTAAAAATTTTGATTACATACAAAAAACGTTACACTCAGTACAGTGTGCAGTATGGGAAGCAATTTCCAAACACTGCATAACTGATCCATAGTGATTTGAAGACGAAATTAAAGCGCGAGTATGGAACATTATTTGACGGCACTGAGAAAGTGCTGGGCATCATTTGGACGACCAAGTATAGAGGGATCGATTTGGTTGATTAGTGGTCCCAGGAAGACAGGGCGAACCCCTGCATATCAAATCACGTACTTTACTGGCTAGAGAGCGTCATTGGACTTGAACACCTCAAATTTTTATATGTGGGGGTATTCGAGGGACAATGTGTATCAGAACATTTCCTAAACAATAGATGAATTCAAAACTGCAATTGCAACGAAACTCATAAAATTTTCATAGAGTGTGTGAATGATTTGATAATTTTTCGCAACGCAAGAAATTCTCCTATGCCTAGGTTATTCAAAACATATTCTAGATAGAACATAACTTTTGTTCGCAGCTTCTTATATTCCTAAACTTTTGGATACAATTATGCACAAACAAAAATTGAAGCATAAATAAAATCTAATGAATTTTTTCATTTTTGTATAAGTCAGTAACAAATTTATAGGTTCTGTTTTTTTTGAGTTACCCTGTAGTTATTCTATTGTATATGTATATATATACATATATATAGTATTCAACAATATAATTTTACACTTATGCACTGTTGAGTTGTTGAGTTTGAGACTCTCTTACATTGACAAAATTAAAGTAAGGAATTCTGTGTGGCATTGCACGTCTTGAGACAAAGAACCATATTTTACAGTACAACCCTATTATTAGATATATTGTCCATACCAACATTGTCATTACCCATGTCTATATCAATCAGTGTCAAAATAGGACGGAAAACTATTTCCATAATCGAAAATTCTGTAGGAAGCCAGTATGTTCATTGTCCAGTACCTAACCAAAATATTTGTCAACTTATTGAATGTATTAATAACTTGATTTAAGCGTATTAAGCAGAATTGATTTTTTTTTGGATTATAGTGAAATCAATGTGAAGAAAAACGTTAAATTTCATGCTTAAATCTGTATTTTATGCGAACCTTACAAAAAGTGGTATTTGAATTTTAGTTAGCTTGATATATTACAAAAACAGTTCAATATCATTTTCACGCAGAAAAGCTAATATTAAAATATTCTCGATTAAAATACCAAATTTAACAAATGCGCTGGTGATTTAGGTCTAACTGTCAATGAATATGAGAAAAAAGAAAGAAGACTTTCAACTCCTCTAGAATGGAAATCAGCGAGTGAAAATATAGACGACTTGGAAATTGTATTGCCACTGGAATACAACGGAAAATTCATGCTTTGTCCAACGTACCCGATTGGTCATATTTTCCAATCAGTTCAAGATGTTCTTGACACTCTTCCGGCAGTAAATAGGGTGATTTATCCAATGACTGATATCCTTCTACACGACAAAATTGTACGAGCTAGGGAAAGATTGGAGATTCTTGACCAGGTATATAATCTCATGCTGTCCTATAGAGAACTTTACATAAATAACAGCAATTGTGTTGTTCATATAAACACACCCATGTCACTTCCTAGTTTACAAAAGTCAGTGTAATTTAAACGCGAATTTTTAAACTAAACTTATTGAAGAATTGAATACAACTGTACAAGCATCACCGTAGAATTAATCCTAGGAAGATGTCATATATTATGCAAAAATGTACTTCAAAAGGTGGTAATTTATTTATTTTAAGGTGCAAGACACACTAACAGGAAATGAAATACTGAGTGTTCGTTCAATGAAAACAGAAGGTCAGTTTCTCCTTCCTGCATCAATAAACGTACTTTTCCAACAAGTGCCCAGTGACTGCTTCAAAAGTAAGTTATCTGTATATGAAAGCTGTTCGAATTTTCCTTTTAATCATTGTGATAATTTGCTCCAAGCAGAGTGCTGTGATTCCAAAATTATGATCGCTTACTTATACGCCAATCGTGTGCAATATTTGTTTATAATTTTGCTCATCTACAAACCGAATATAAAAAAAATCGCGAAACGAGAGCTTGAGGTACTGAGATTTTAGGTCACTAAAAACTTGGTAAATATTTGATATTGAATATTCACGTTGAATTTCACCATTTTTATTATTCAGTTTAATATTAGTTTTCATGTAATTGTTTTCATCAAGCATTCATTGAATAATGATTAAAGTAGAAATATGACACATGAAATGCTTGCCGTAGATTATACATTTTAATTATTTCCCCGACAGGTACACCAGATGGATTGAGTGCACGAGAGTTTGTCAGAGCTTGGAAACCGGGTCGGCCACCATTTACGTAAAGATAACAATATTTTAGTGTATTTATGTAGTCACTGGAAAGCATAATATAGTGCAAATCATTTAAATTGGCTGAGCGGTATGCACATGACTGATTCATTATAATAATGGGTTTACTCCTTTTAGTATTTACCGTGAAAACGGTAAAAATTACAGAATAGTAATTCTCATACAAATTATAGAAAAAATATTATATATAATACCTAAAACTCCGAATATAATATATATCCCCTATTACCTATACAGTTTGTGAAACGGTTGAAACAAATCCAAATAAAAAAATCTTTTTAGAGTAAAACTATGTTCACAAGTCACTTACAAAGATTATGATATCATCAACAAGCCCAGCGCAAAGAAGAAAGACAAAAAGAATAAGCAACAACCCATCAGGCAAATATTTTCGTACTTTTGAATTCTTCCATTTTTCAAAATTGTTTCTAGTGAGATACTTGTAATTTTTCATCGAATAACTTTTAATAATAACAAATAAAATAAATTAAACATTCAACGCGCACTTGGCAATCATTCGTCGTGTAAGAACAAGCCTATACAAGCAGGAAAATCTCTCTTTGAGATGTTCTGGGTAAAAACAGAGTGGGTCTGAACTTTTCAGTTATTTGTTTTTGTAGTGGAAGAATCAAAGCTGAAGAAAACATTACACCAACGAATTCAGAGGATCGTAGCTTAATACCCCCTACTTGGTGGGATAAAAAACTACTTCTAAAACCATTTCAAAAGATTAGGATCAAAAATATTATGTTTGATTCGAAAGAATTCTTCTTGCCAGAATCAGCAAAGCTAATGGTTGGTTGAAATATTTTTGTAGATTTTACAATAATAATCATTTTATGATATTTGTTTTCCAATGGCATTTGAATATTCAAATAAACTCCCATTTATAAAAAGTCAAACAAAAAAAAAACCGTTAGAAGATATTCGCTTCAATATCCAAAAATATCTAGCCACTATTGTTCACATATTTAGTTTGGCTTTTCAGAGAAATTATTTTTTTTATACGAGTTGACTAATAAAGCAATACAACATAATTCGGTTGTTTAATAATGTCTCAATTATTTCTGACGGCAAAATGAACATTGAACAACCAGGTAATAGTTTATTGGTAGAGGGAAGGTTTTATCATCATTTTAATAACAAGGATTTTCAAATTGTCTGATGTATTAAACTATACTAAGTAATCTCATATTTGTACCCGGTAAATCTTATATTGAGAGGCAACTTCACTTTTTATTTGAACAAAATCGTGAACAATGATATAAAGTTGATATGAAATAAAAAAAAATTGCGTGAAAGACAAATTTACATGCATGGGTTTAATTTGTAATTTCATGAGCACCAACAAAACTTTCTGATGACTACTGTGTTACATTCAGATAACAGGCAAACTTTTAATTATTTATTTTTGTTTTATCTTTAAAATGACGTTGTTTGATCTTTTAAAAGTAGATATACTTTAGCTCCCCCAAATAAATATTTGCATTAGCATGGCAGTAAATGACACGGCCTTCAACTCAGTTTTAATAACAAAACTAGTTATACTTCTCAATATACTCATTCCACCTGAGGTGAAAGTCCAGGCGCTTTATTTGTCATCCAGTGAGCTTGTGACTTTGCCAAGTCAATGAATTCTCATTCAAGCCGTTTATAAAAATCATTCAAAGATAAAAGTAATCCAGAACCAGTCAGAAGTTTTGTATGTAAGAAATAAGACTTGCACATTTGGAAATAATTGGTTTACCTTGTTGCTTGTTTCAAACAATCTTCCTAATAAACATTACTTTGGCGTAAGAGATCACGTTTGAAACTAACACTTCCTTGTTCATTGTCTTTTAGATACAAGTTATATCTGCTGACGAAGCGTCTATTGCTGAATCAATGTATAGTGAATTGAGCAGAAAAAAATCACGAGGTTTGAGTGCTGCTGAAATATTCTCTGGCCCACTGAATGAACTCCCGCTCGAATTTGTAACAGAAATAGGAGAACCCCTACTGCTTATGGTAACAGCGGGTACAGTTTCTACCGGACTAAGACAGCAGGTATATTTGGCGAAATTGTCCTAAATTGATGTACAGAGTTTTAATACGTTTTACTACATCGAAATATGGCCTTTAGCGTTATACTTTTCGGGCATCATATGATGATACTCTCCCAGTCTTGCACATATAATATGTAATGCTAGGATCTTATAAAGATCACCCACTGCAAGTAGATTTCGGCGAAAATTCTTATATTATTCCTTTCTCGCTCCGTTTGCCCTCGAGCTAACGAGTGGATAACTTTTTGCAGTGACCTGAATAAAAAACGTCTTTTGGCTTCTACTAGATTTAAGGTATGGCCCCATAAAGCAAACAAAGCTATGCTCTTGGGCACTGTATTCAGTGCTACTGTGCCTTTGCGATGCTCTGATTATACGGTTAGTTGGTTACCTTACTTGAGTGCTCAAATTTCTACTTTTGTAGATACAGATGTTATTATCTTGTTTTTGTTGTTAAAATTGTTGTTGTTGTTGTAAAAAAAATCGCTTTTTTTTTACCTACTTGACCAATTTGCAGTGATTATTACTTTTATAAATTTCAGAAATTTCTCTGATCTCTATATGATTCGTTTTGTGTAGCGATGATGTCATCAAAAATTGCGCACCTTTTTAATAATATAATTTTCTTTTTTTCTGTCTTCTGTATTAAATACCGTTATACTTAATCACGGGTCCCCCTTCCCAGTAGTTGACCAGCATAGGTTTTTGCCATATTTACGTTTCTTCCTTAGCCTATATTTTCGTACAAAGTGCATTTTCAGTGCGATTAAATATAAAGTATTGTTAAATGATTATCTTTCTGGTGTCTGACCTTGTCTTTGTGAACTTCAAATTGAAAATCTCAATAGGATTTTCACAATATGGCAAAGCAGTAAAAATCATTTCATTTGCAATAGTCATTATATATATTAGATTAGGCAATCGTTTTAGTTTACTGAATTCGTTTGTTTAACATCTAATGATGCAATCAGAACTCAACGTACTGCAAATAAAACCTTTGTTTGTGTATATTTATGTATACATGGTTAAAATAGCTGCGCAGATTGTCTAGCTAATCATTCACATCTAAACTATGATGCCAATGGCTTCAGTTTGAACTGTGTGAAAGTGAGCGACAAAACATTAAATTCATACATTGATATATTGTGATATTCCATTTCACCTCAGTGAATATTTTTTTCATCGGAGGGGAAGAAAAACACTTTCAGTAATATTTCATCCAAATATCTTCGCTAGGTCCCAGCCATACTGCCCACAAATACCACAATGTCTCCGAAAAATCAGAAAAATGAGAAAACTTCGTTGGCATCACCACCATGAAAACCCTGCTTTCGTTCTGCGTCAGTTTTGTAAATCTCTCAATTTAATTTACTCTACCTTAACAATTTCAACAACTCATTTTGTCTGTTTGTTACACAGACCAATATACTGGAAGGAAGCAGAATTGTCGTATATCGCGCACTAACTTCAAAGAAATTCGTGATGTGTTGCTCTCGCTCACAGAAATTTTTAGTTGATACATCATACCAAGGAACTTTGAAAATGTAATATGAATTTGACATTTAATTTATTTATTTCAATGCCTGTTTATATAGCCAATCGTGTAGACGAGGTGTATGTAATACTAGCATTCTATTGCATGTTAACAATTGTGAAAATTTGTGCTGAGACTGAGATTATTTAAGTTGTATGAACACAATCGAATTGAGGAACATTTTTAGTATTCTAAACTAGATGAGACTTTTCCTGAAAAACTGACTTCGGAATTCCCAATCATCCATATTAACGTTACTGTGAACTGAAACTTCCTGGATAAAAATTTATATTGCTCAACTACACAACTAAAGACTGATGAACATTTATAACACTTTCGTTTCATTCAGACTGCCCCAAGGTCTGGGTACACCTGTAACAAGTGTAGAAAATTTATTGAATGCAACCCTACCGTGCAAAGTACAAATTACAAACAGCGATTCTTCTCTTGGCTACGATCAGTTAGCAAAACGACAAACTTTAACTGTTTTAGAAGTGGTCACAGGTAACAAAGAAAATTATGGTTTATTTTTTGTCGAAGATAGCGATTTTGCCACCGCATCCCGTACCGTGATCATATTGGCGTTAAAAGTGTACAAGTGAGCAACTGAATTGGGACCAAATAAAACCTAAAATCTCAAACCTCGAGCCTGCATTTATTTTGCGCCATCGCCCGTATTCAATTTTATCACTAATTATCAATAAGCGATACATTGCGTTGTTTTAGCTCTTCAATTCAATTCTTTGACTATGCACATAAACTTGGTGTAACTATTTGTCTTCACATTCTTTCTGAAGTTTTTTATGGTTGTATACTTTAACTCCAGCTACGATTATAACACAGTTCAACTTATCTTCAGAAACTACATTGATAGTTGATATAATTTCGCCAACAAGTCAAATTCTATCTGAGAAGCCGTTTGAAATGGCATTGCTTCGAACGAACCTGTCCGTACAAGCTTTGGAGCCGGATTCGCATAAAATCGATCGTCCTGCGTCGTTTGATTTGATGAAACAACTTCCAGCAGTAGAATTCGTAAGTTTTAATGTCTAGATCACCCAAGTTTTCTTATAATGTGACATAAACTAATACTACTGCGTAATGCCCATAATCATTATATTCATTGCCGAATTGTGCACTTTAATTATTTTGCGACTCAAATCATACACAGGCCATTCTTATCAAGGTTAAACAGCCTTCTCAATCTTTGTAATTAACGATCAGACTTTTCATATTTTGTGTATTCCAAATATCCACGAGACTCGGAGTATTCGTATTATCAATTCAGCTTATACTTCAATGGCAAGCCAGTGAATGTCATGCCATGCAATCTGAACGCAAATGTCTTTTTAACGTTGCCGTCTGTGAAAGTTTGTGACCGTATGCAAAAGTACATGTTTTATCGCCATACCTTCTATTGAATATATATATATATATATATCCTTTTGAATAGGAAAATCTTTATCGTATCCTTTTTTTAACCCCCGCCAATACTGACATTCGTAGTCAACAGAAATATGTTTCTAAATGTATATTGTTGAAATTAAAATGCTTTATATAACAGATCAGTGACTCAGACTTTCACCGACTTAAAAAATGCCCAAGGAGATATAGTAGTGATGTAAGTTCTATAAATGCTTTTTTAATTTCATAAATAGATAACCTTTTATGATACTGTGTAACTTAGATACAATTTCGATTCATTTTAGAATTTAAACTCAATACAATATTACGATGCAAGAGTGCGAACTAGCCAGTCAAAAAGTATATCAAATGTATTTGGGGAATGAGCCGTTGTTATTATATTGAGATTACCAGACAATCATGAAACAATTATAATGCTTCAATTGAATTTACATATTAACGATATTTGCAGGCACCCCAATCGCCAGAATTTGCATTGCGTCCCAAAGAATATGAAAAATCATGGTCAACGAATAATTTGGAGACGTCAATATCCCAACCGACCTGTTCAACATTGCCAAAACAGCCGTACCTATCTGATAGCCCAACCCCACCACCGAGACCCCCCAAATCACCTAGTCTTCAAAAAGAAAGTTTTGATTTCGTTGATATACCACAACGTCCTCCAAAGCCGCATCGATATAAACAACAACCTCTGCAAACTTATAACGGAAATAATAGCAATAATGTTGTCGGAGAGCAGTCGTTGTCGTCCAGCGATTCTATCAGAATGAAGAAAGAGTTTGTAGAGAAGAAACGAAATTCGAGAAAAAGCGTGTCAGAGAGCAAGTTGCATATTCTAATTGAAGAGCAGAGGACGATGCTATCCGCTATAAAACCGTTATCACCAATGCATGCCCATGTAAAATATCAGGAAACCGAATTGAATGATCAGAGTTTAAACGACGGTACTTAATTTAAAACCTTTTACATTAATTTTAGAAACATTATTCAGTAAATTCATGTGATATCACCAATCAACAACAAATAATTTTTAACTTATACATCTTAGTTTATGATTATATGCCGCTTATTATTTTATGCTGATGAAAAAAAAATTCTGATGACAAATATGTGCATTTCGTTCATAATGCGATTACCCAAAGAATTTTATCTAATATTTTTCTGCACGTACTTCCTAAGAATATCTTTCATACTGTTAATTCAGATATTTCGAAATCATGGTCCCAAATGCAAGACAATTTAAAGGATTTACAATTTAAAGATGTTACACAGCGGCCAAAAGCAAATGACTTTCTTGAAATGCAGGAACGTTTTCGACCAGATGCAAACTCTCGTGTAGAAAAGTATCCGCCTATCATTGATTCAATGGTAAAACAAATAATTGATCCTTCGATATTGAATTTAGCAGAAATTGGCACTTATCACGAACCACCAATCGTCAAAGATAAGGGTATCTCGGAGAAAAAATCTGTAAGAAGTATGACTAATCCAAATTACGACATGACGCTGACTGCTGTTGTGAACAATCACAATAAGACTGCTTCTGATACAACTAAAACAAGTGAATCTATCTATGTATTTGCAAAAGATATACTACCTTTACGTGAGCAAATTCCATCTTTAACGGATGATATGGAAGACTATGAAGTTATGTGTTCTCCTACGGTAAGTCATTTTTTAAATAATCATTTATTTTTTATTATTTTGAATATTGTTCGATTAGGTTGGAAGACATAAATGCTTCTTTTCTTGCATACTCCCTTTTCACTTCCATTACTCTTAGCTCAATATCATCTCTTATAGTTTATCACATCATAACAAATGTATGAAGTATGCTATTGGATCTCCTCTCTATGAGACCAATATTCTCGTTCATTATGGCTATAGGTCTGTCCGTTTGGGTGTAGCTTACAAACGGCTGGACATTAAAATAGCATTCAAGCAAGGGAATCGACGAGACGTGCAGGGCTGAATGAAATGGTAGTTTCTGTAACCAGGTCCCGACAGTACGATGTCGTTAAAAGCCTGAAATCTTGCATGTGGGGTAGAGGATTGCTGGGATGATGGCATCATATATCACCGAAGATTCTGGGACGGCTCTACCTGATCGTTTTAAATAGTATATATTTTAACATTCAGGAAACAAACGATTATATGAAACCTTGGGAAATGCAACATTCTTTGGTAGCAAAACATCGAGTATTGCTCAGCGAAGACGACAGTGACTACGAGATAGAATATGAAAATAGTACCAACAGCTGAACAATAACCCCATTTTCTGCGTATGAAACTTTTAAACATATGAAACGACATACTGATACTTTTTGCAATACAATTTTGTTATTTCGAATTATATTAATATGCAATTTTATTGTAAATAGACTGTATAAGCGACCCTTTCGGTCACTCCAGTCTCTCTGAAGTTGGACTAATAGGCAACGTTGAAAATATTTGCCAAATTTTTTTATGTAAAATTCATTTCCCAACGTTTTAATGGCACAATATATGCTATGCACCGTAGTAAAAATTGATAATCATTTACATTACTGATTTGGGCAATAAAATATATATTGGGTGTATATTCTGGCATAATTTAGCAGTTATTAAACCAGCATTCGAACTTGGATTTATATGTTTGTTTCAGAATGTAGCCTAATAAAAATGGCTTGGACTAGACACATTTATGTACGTAGATTGACTACTTTGTATTGGTAATGAATTTCTTAGTAATAATGTTTTTAATAATCATTTTCTCATCCTAATATACCTTAATTTTTTTACAAATTTGATTTCCTAATTTTTTGTCCATTGTTTCTGGAAATTATAATATCTTTTTGCAATTTTTGTCAATTCAATTTTGAATATTAAATTAAAAGTTTAGAAACAGCTGAACTTTATCTTTATATTAACTGTGGCTAGTGCAACACACACACTTTTAAAGTGACACCGGTATTCCAGAATGTATTGGATAGTGTGACATACCAAACCTATTAGCAATATAAGTCAAATTTTTCAGGCAACACTTTTTGTTCATTTACATGAGTGATTAAATTTCTTTCATTCAAATGATGAGGAACAACAGAAACCGCTTATCATATTGCTAAGACAATACCAGTAATTGGGATATCAACAGAGCTGTTTTAAAATTTTTAAGCGATATGAATAAAAATTTAATGTGCTCTATAGTCTATACGAGTGATTTGCCCAAATATTCATGGACTGACTAAGTCGTAACAAAATAAACTAATTTATATGGTATGTTCAGTGACACTTTATTAAAATGCAGTAAATCTTTTAGCTTCTCCTAGGTTTCATTTCAGAAATTTATCGATAATATACATTTGATTAGATGAAATTAGTAAAAAATACGTCTACAGTTACACTGTCTTGAACCGTAGATTCAACCTGAACAACATTTTACTCTAGCATTGTATAATAAACCTTATTGTGGTTTAGTGCACCAAGTAATTTAGACTTCACTTCACAAAAATGCTGATTTTATTCTTTATCTGTAATGAATTGAACTGTGGCCTATCTGTTCTTATTTGGAATGCGTCAAATTAGACTTTTAGCAGACATCGTGAGTTATTTCAGATATTCATGGTATTTCAAACGGCATCGACCACCGACAAGAGTTCAATACCCTAAATGGTCATGCGACGAAAATGTATAAAACTGAAGAAAAAATGAGTAATTTAGACAATCTACACTTTAGTTTAAGACATATTTCTGATGGCTGTAGTTCATATAATTATGAAAAGAGCGAATGTCAGTGAAAGTCGCAGCATATTCGGAGAACAGATGCACCGAAAGATTTAGTGCGCAAATTAGGGATTTTTTATATTGACAGTTCAAACTATATTTACTATGCCCATATTAGCTTACGAAATATTGTTAGCTTAAACTTATACAGTACTACTTATACAGGGTGTCTCAAAAGTGAGTATACACTTTTAATTTTGATTTATTTTTTAGGTACTCATCACAGAGCGTTCATTTTTTTGTGAAACATAGTATGGAAAACCAGTAAAATGTAGGTATTGTTTGTATGTTACAACAGTTTACAGAATGACAAGGAGATTAACCCAAAAAATGAGAAGCAAAATTGCTTATTGGCAAGAAGCCTGTAAATCAGTAGGGCAAGCGTAGCGCCTTTTTAACGGAAAATTCGGTCTTCTTGGTCTTCCTGATCTTTGTGCATCAATTACAGATCCAGTTTTCGTGAATTTTTGATGAATTGCGTAATTCTTCGTTGTAACTTGCTGAATGCCTCACTGTTTTTCACCTCATTTCTTGGGTCAATCTCCTTGTCATTTTGTGGGTTGTTGGAAACAGCAAACAATACCTTAATTTTACTACTTATCCATACTTTGTTTCCTGAAAAAATGAACGCTCTAAGATGAGTTCCTGAAAAGCAAATTAAAAGTTTATACTTACTTTTGAGACACCCTGTATTTACTTAAGCAAACCAAAAAATATGGCAAAGTTCATGGTCGTATTACTATTCCTCACCGCAATGGGTATGTTTGCTTCGTGTGATATACCCAATGTGTTTGAGTTTTGTACTGCTCTCATGTCTGACAGACAAAACTCTTGCAATGTGGCAACATGCCGAGGAAGGTCGGGCAAGAGAGGACCAATTGGTCCACTAGGAAACAAAGGTGAAAAAGGAAACACTGGCGCAACAGGAACATCGGAAGCACTAAAAGGAAGAGTAAAGGAATTGGAAGGTGAATGAAATATTCAAACCGGAGTTATTAGAATTAACAAATTTTTGTATATATGTTCCTTCTCAATAAATTGTTGCGCCACTTTGAACATTTAGAGCAGTCCTTATACCTCTATATATTTATTAAATACGTGGCCAAATACAATCATAATATTTTTAAAAATGTTGCACTTTTTTGGATATTGGTTATGATCGTTAAAAAATAAATGCACATTACTGCAGATGAACAACTTTCCAAACTTATACATATATATATATATGTTAATGAATACCTATAAATTATTTTACAGATACGGTTGCCTCAATGAAGAAAGTCTTCACATCGAAATGTAAGGAAATCATATATATATATATATATATTTTTTTTGGTTATTTTTCAGAAAGGCCGTTAGGGTAAAGCTAGTTTTTGTCAATGGACAATGATTTAACTGTCGTTTATGAGTCATGAAGACTGTGACTAGATATCAATACTTTACATAGAATATCATCGTGAATATGCCATGAACGAACATCACTATGTTTCTCTGTAAATTTATTGGAGCAATGTTACAAGACTTCACTCAAGACAGCACGAGAATATGTACGAGTCCGCAATATTTGAAGCTTTCTAAAATTGCGTTGGCGACTGGCCACGAAATGAAAGCAAATTCAAAAAATGTAGACTCTTTTGGTCTCTCTCTTTGGTCAAATGAAAGCATACAGAATAAAACTTGTGGAAGTGTGATGCGACTCTTGTGAGCCACTCAAAACATACTATTCGTACAAATTTCTGAACTATCTAATAGTTGTGTAATATATATATACCAACGTTTTACAGTGGAATTCTGTTCAATGGGAATGAAGTCCAGAGAAATTCTGGATTCAGATATATCGACATCATCGGATTGGGAAAGTTTTCATCATGGACAATACGGAAGATTAGATGAACAGCCTGCATCTAATCCAACTTCATATGGAGCATGGATTTCTCGAAATAGTGAGCTTTAATTTTTTCATTGTTTTAAACATAAAAACATTTCTTATCATGTTTTAAACTAGTCAAAATATCCAGATAAATGAACGTACTCAATAAGATGTGATCTTTCATTGCTAAAACAATTTAACAGTACTAGGAAATATTAAATACTCCACAGGTTATCTTTAAGAGTATTAAGTAAAATTCGGGCTACCTTAAATACCGGGCCACAAAAAATAATTTGTATTCAATTTATTTTGTGTCAGATAGAATTGGAGAATGGATTCAAATCGATTTAAAAATACCTAAATCAGTGTCCGGAGTTGTGACACAAGGTCGACCGAAAGTAAAAAGTCAGTGGGTGACTTCCTTTAGAGTCAAATGTGGAAATTCTACAACAAGTTTTCAGGCTATCATGGAAACTAATGAAGAGAAGGTGGATGTTTTGTTGTCTGTTCTTAGGTCCTAGAGTAAGATATTAATTGTCTTATTAAAACTGTTTATTCAATTAAACAGGTATTTCCAGGGAATAGTGATCGAGACACCAAAGTCACAAATATATTTCCCAATCCACTGGTTTGCCGCTACGTCCGACTTTACCCTCAGAGTTGGCACGGTCACATTTGCATGAGAATGGAAATACTCAGAGGAGAATGCTACGACTTATACTGAGAAACGAATGAAAGAGACAACAAACTTGTGTTGAATTGCTTGTTTTTAAAATCATTAAATATTTGTGGATGAACGTGATTTTTTGTGTGCATTTAATGTTGTTGAAAATTTGATGTTACAATGCTTTTCATCGACTTCCTGATTGTTGTTTTAAGTTACTATTTGTCGATGGACAAATTTGCTTTGAGAGGTTTGCCTTGCATTAAAGCCTTTGAATAAACAAATTTCGATCAGTTATTTATAAGCTGTTGTGTGACAACAATAATCAAAATATCAGATACGTGATGGACAAAGTAGATCATAAAAGTTTGCCAGAAAAAATTCTGTAAAAATGCAAATCTACATGAAATAACTTTTGCATTGAATTTTCAATGTTGCAACTTTATCGCCCCCGTCACGCTTCCATCTTCGTCCGTCGTTTTGCGCAATTTACATATTTAATGACGTTCTCACGCAAAAACCGAATTTCATAGAGTCCATAAAAATTTCTGAAATAAAGAGAAATTAGCCTTCAAGTAAAGCATTTTTTTTACGTCGAAGACTAAAACTAATAGATACGATTATGTAATCTTTCACAGTAGACCAGTACCGCAGTCTTCACGATTTGGCCTCACAAACCAAAAACCAACCATCGCGAACACGGAACAGCCACAACGTGCTCGATTTTTTTTATTTTGATGACGTCTTTACACACAAAAAAAGGATTCAATAACATAGTGCTATATCCACTGGAATTTCAAGCAATTGGTCCTGTAATTAAAGTAATAGGCTATTCTTCACAACAAAAATAATAACAAACAAAAAAATACCCTCAACAACAACAATAACATAATAACAAAACAATCCTTAGGTCTACTTTGTGTCCAACAAACGGAATATTGGGGCAAAGCAAAGTGAATAACATTGTGTGAATGAGACGATTTATTTTTTTAATAAGCCAGTTTTTGATTAAAAATGTTTGTTATTTTTGTTTTGTCTTCGATACAAAAGTTCTGAAAGGTTATGTAAAAACCCTCGAACAGGTGCTAAAATTCTTCCTTTGTGCCGGTCCAGACTGGAATGCATCCCAACTAGAATTTAAATATACAAAACATACCAAGGAATATTCAGATAAATCTTGCTTGCCGAAGTTGTTTGCATGAATGAATATGGCTGTGATCATATTCATTGAAAGGTTCATACATAGAAATGCATATAAATCGAATGTTTTTTACTAATATTTATGTTTATTGAATTTCTGGGACGCCATGTTTTAGGGACAAAGGTCAAGGTTTTATATATCAGAGACTGATTTATAAAACCTTCACTATCATATTCTGATCATAAAAAAATTTAAAATTGATTCTAAAATCAATATTAGAAAGTTCTATATAGAAATATTCATATCAAAAAATAGAAAACATTTTTTTATAGTTACAACTGGAATCACTCAAAGCACTCAATTTTAATTTAACTCCATTACAACCCCCAAACTAATTTAATTTAATAAATGTCATACGTAACAATCATGTTCTTTGTGACACATACTTGATTATTCTTTTTCAAGTTGAGAATACTTAAATTGTTGCTTACAAATTACAATCTATTTGAATAACTATTTCAAATTGCTCAAACATACAGATCAATATCTTTTAAGGAAATATGACAGATGTCGAATTTAGTTTGCGCCTTCCGCATGCTAAGTAAAAGTAAAAACCTTCTTCAGTTGATTCAACTACTTTGTTCACAATAAAAAGAGAGAAATCAAGAGAAAATGATACAACTCAATAAATGGCCATGATGAATAGGTTTATTCAAACAATTTCATAACATAAAACAATTGCATTTCTAATTTAAATAAATGGAAATTAAATAAATTTCGAATACTAAATTTTGCAACTATGTAGATGTAAGTTTAGTATAGTAATCCAGTTTAGATCTATTTTAGCCATGTATCGATACGAAGAGAATATTCTCTGTTAATTAAGAACTTAACCTCACAGGAAAGATTATCGAGCAATTTACGTCTCCAAAAAGTTCTAATCACATTTATCAATATTTGTGATACTCAATGTGATTAAATTCTTAATTAAAACTATTACAATCATTAGAATGATAAAAACACAAAATTTAGGATGCCAATTCAATTCATAAATCAAATGCAAAATACAATAGAATTTGTTTTGATATTGTTTGTTCAATCCATAAAGTATAGCCTCTATTCCGTGGACTTGGGAACTTTAGAATTTCACACATCTGCAAATCAACGAAAGAAAAATGTTAATAATCTGTGTATGGCAATTTACTACATTTTTGTCTAAAGCTATATCATATCAAAACAGTAAAGTGAATAAACCTTAGTTAATGCAAATACATATCTGATAATGAAATAGAGTTCCTATTCTCACGAGTCAAAGTCTCACGACAGAGTCGAACTTTGAAACTGTTTTAAAATTGGAGTAAAAATTCTGAAATTGCAGACCTTTAATGGCGTCAAAAAGACAACATTTTATGCAGTAACTAAGAAAGCAATATGTTCATTGAACGTCCTCAACATTCTATTTTGCTGAGCAATTTCTCTGACTTAGAAAGCGTAGTTGTGAAGATTGAATTTATTTTTACAGCCCGGAGTCCAATGTAAAAATTTAGTTTAAAGCTGAACTTGAATTATACTAGACATGGTCGTAGACGCCTAGAAAAAAATAATAAAACCTATTTTTATTCCATCTTAAAATGAATTTTAATTACCTGCACGATATTGGTACACTGTATCTTGACTCCGTGTATTGGCCGCCGATTAGAACATAGAAATTCCTGGCAATTTTGACTTCTTCAGGTTTATACGAGAAATAATCGAGGGAATTGCCATTGACAGGGTTTTTGCATAGATCACATTTTGCTTGAACGAACCACAAAGGGTATACATTATTACAGCGGACCCTTTTTAAAACAAATAAAACTCTTGAATCAATAAGATGTTTTCAATTATAAAAACTTTTACGCTTTACATCGGTAACCAGCAAGTATACAAAAGAGCGTTATTGCATTGTTGAAATTGAAAATTGCTATATTTCCGTTTATAATATTTTAATTTAAAAGATCTTTATAGCCATTCGACCATCGCAAATTTATATTCTACTGGAAATGCGATTCCAAAGATATTTATTTAAAATAGAGGGTAGTGCTTTGACCAATAAATATATTATTATCCCTATTTAATATTTTTCTTCTTCTAGGCTCAAATATTATCATATGCAGGATTTAACAAGCTTTTACAGTTAATGCAAATGCAATCCTTAAAAATGAAATTCGCAATTAAATGAAAATAATTTGAAATGGTCTAAATGAAATGAGGTAATTTTTTGTTACAATTATTATCAAATATTAATAATAGAATAACAAAAATATACAAACAATTGTATTTCCATCGGAACGAATCCTTTATTGTCTTCCCGTAATTTTGAAACTTGACATGAATGACTGTTTATTAATCTGAAATTTAATCGTAAATTTTTAGGTATAACATACTAAATTAAAAAAATTTATGGTGACGATTTACAAATATTAGTGTACTTTTAAAGACAGTAAAAACAAACGATGAAAATGAAACCGGATACGTAGATTGAATATTAATTCCCTGTTCAATTTTATGCTCTGTTATTCTGTATCAATATTAAAGAAATAATAGGGAAATACGCAACTTACTCAGAAACATCACGCGCTTCAACGTACATGAAACAAAGAAGCAAAATTGCACAAACAAATATCTGAAAACAAGATTTTTGTTAATAAAAAAATGAAATAATAGAATTATTTAAAAAATAAACAAGATATCATTACCGCAGTAAGAGGAATTTTCTTTCCCATTTCAATCGTCTTTTTTTTTCGTTTCCTGTAACGATTTGAAATAGTTCTTCGGTCGAGTGTTCGGATCGTCTCAATGATTTTGTATCTCAACGTGGTAATATATATAGAGGTATCCGTATAATAGTAACATAAAACTATTGAAAAAAAAATGATTCAAATAGAAGCCATTGTTATTTTAGTCTTATTTCAATTTCTGATTTTCATACTTTGTTTAAACTAAAAAATGGAAAAATTTAAAGCTCAAACAAAAATATATATAGGATGTTGTTATAACTTTGTGAAACTAACATATTCTGGAATATAAACAATTGCTGACGTACAACAACAATTTAGTGGTAAAGATATTCATAGTTCGTGCGGACTCGCCCTTACCATATTTATTCGCCGTATCAGTCAATCGGTGTTATTAGTCTATTAACCTATTGTTTTCATATTTTTTTAATCTGGTACCAGATACTGATTGAATTAATGAAATTATTTTTGCACAAATTTTGCAAGTTTGTCATTTGATATATACATATAAAATATTTGTTTATTGATAAAATAATTAAACAATAAATTGCAGATTTGCACGATCAATCGATATCTCATTTTAATTCATATTATAGCAAAACATTTACTATTCACTTTAAAATATTCTTCTACTTATGTTCATTATTTCTGGAATATTTCAGACTACGTGCTTATGCATCGAAATGTAAAAAGCATGAAGGCAGAAACCAAATGTATAGCACACACATATATCCATATATTCCTTATATAAGTGTTACATTTCATACGGCCATTTACCCCCATCCTGTGTAAAGCTATTTATAAAAAAAAGATCAGAAAATTCGCCTTGCATAATTTTTTCAAATATATAATTTCGAGATAAAGTCACTGTTTCGAATACTTACTTTATAGTGTCTGAATGAGTCTACGCGGCGAATAAGACGAGGCCCGTTTTTAAGCCTGAAAAAATGAAGTTTTGCATATAACCGGCCGCCAAGTCGGGGTCGTAAAATCGCATCAACATCGGAATATTAAATTACCATGCAATGTCTTTTGAGCGGTCGCCGCTTTGGCGCATTGGTTAAAATAGCCTACAATGGCTTTTTCAAGTAGCGTAATATTCAATCTATAACAACCACGAGAATTCAATCTTTCTTCCAATTTCAATATAATTGTGTTCAACTCGCGACTGCATCCGCCATACAAGAACATTACCGATCTAAAATAACGCGGCAATCTGCGGACATAATAATGTGAAACAAACTACCTGATTATATTTAGTTTTTATGAATAAATATACATATAAAGTGTTTATATGAAACATATACATATTCATCACCTCGAAATCTCCACAAAACGAAATGTGTTGCTTCATTGATTTAATTGGGATTATATGTTGTTTTGAGGGTTTTACGGTAGGAAAAAACCTTAAGTCAGCGATAATATCCTACCGAGTAAATTAATGTCAAAAAAAGAATTAAATATACTTTACATTACCGTAATCACGGTATTATACACATAACATAGTCGCGCTGGTCCTGTCGGTAATTGTGGAACAAAAAATGTTTTTGTGATTTGCAGTGCCTAAAAATCATCTTTAATCTGTCACGGGCCATCCTAAAATAAAACTTAATGGTGTTTCCGTTTTATTTTTAGTATTTTATATTGCCGCGTTCAAATAAAAAAAAAGTTGGGTAAGGTATTCACTCCTTATTTCTCTTAGCCTGTTGTCACACATGATTATGGGATAACTCGCATCTCACAACACAAGTGCCATGGTTGCTTGAGAGCAATAAAGTAATTATCGTTGTCCTCGCTGTAAATTTCTGACTTAGAGAGAATAAATGCTGAAAGGAAAGATGTTTACGGCTCAAATAAGACATCACGATGACAAAAACAATTAACGATTTTCACAAATTGCAATCCAACGTGTATCGATAATAGTCACACAAATGCGGCAGCTTCAATCATGATAATCACAGCATTGAAATTTCAGATTCACAGCGCGAGAATGTCGATTTATTTAAACTAACCTGATGAGAACGTGGGAGATGATATCGCTGAAGGTATTTTATTGCCCGGATTTAATAATGGGCGACACCAAAAAAATGAAAATGATCATACTCGCCTAATAAGACGACCCTCCAAAATCAGGCCAAAAATTTGGCTCCAGAAAAGCGACTTATTCGCCGGAAATACGGTATGTTGAAAGTTTATCCGATTATATTTATCATATAAACGTAATTGTCTTAGATCAGCGTTTCTCAAACTGTGTTCCGCGAGCTTCTTCGGAGTGTCGCATGGGACAGGATCGAAATTGCGACTAAAATGATCGCCATGAAGAAATCGGCGTCTGTGGGTCGTAAATTTGTCTCCAAACAGGCGGATAGGCCATGCTATCTAAACAGGCCTCGTGCCAGTCTGGAAAGCATTGCATTTTGTCAACCGTTCAATATCGTTAAGCGTTGGTCTAATTTTTTAATTGTCAAGTTTACAGCAAACTTTTCACTTTTACCATAATCTAAATTTTTTGCAATAAGCCAAATTTTTTGAAAACCATTACACAATTAATAATATTATTATTAGTTTTACCTTCTAATTACTTGCGAGGCAAAGGCAAAATACACTGTATTAGATAATTAGGTACGTAACAATAGCAATAGCAAAATGATATGCTAACAAAATTGCTTGTGGTTTGTGAAGACTCATCCTCTGTAACAATTATTGTATGAAAACATGATGTTCAAATTCAAGTTATATCAGGCTTACTGTAATTTTCATGTTCGTCAACTTGATACCGTTTAATAGGTAAATATGTTATAATTTCCGTGTTGTTAGATATTTGGTCAAGCATCTCTTAAAATATATTTATACGAAAAAGGATTTAGATTATGTTCTAATGTATTTGTACCTAATTTCTTTTATTATATCATTACCCACTTTGAAATTGAATCTCCTAAAGTATATAACAAGTCACTGAATAAATATTACCAATTTTCAACAGTTACTTGATTCAGAACATTTATCATTTAATATTTTTATCATTAATTTGTATATAAAATCGGGCGCAATTGACTTTATCTAAAATAAACTAAGTAACGGCTCCAAGCATTTATATCCCAACGAAAAACGAATTAAATATGTCAATAGTTCAAAAAATATATGCAAACAAAATAAGAAACGTTTGTGTTTTATCAACGGTTTTATGTATAAATAAACGGTGCCCTGTTGTTGCTGTGACTGAAAACCTCAAGAGTCAACCGAGGCAAATAACAACAGGGAGTGTGAGAATAAAAATATAATTAAGGAGTTCTCTACAGCAAAACACATCATTTTATTGGGGAGTGGTTGCTACTAGGCCTATTCATAGTAACATAATTCTTTTGTTTATGAGTTCAGTGCAAGAACATAAATAAACAAACGACGTAATATAAATAGTTCTCCAATATTACAATAGAGTTGTTATGCTTGTAGGGAGTCAAATATTCTAGATATGGAATTAACAACATCGGTATCAATAAACGAGAACATTATCTTCACTGTAAAAAAAAGGGGTCAATTAACTGATTTTTGAGTATTTTTTAGTTTAATTAAGCTAAAGCCTACACTTTTCTAGATTCATTCTATCGATTACATTTGAGGTCAATGCGCATGTCTAACCCGTCATAAAATTTTGTTATATCATTTTTAACAAAAATACCAGTTTTAATGAAAAAAAAACTTCAGTTACTGTTCCGTGTCTTACTTTACTTTGACAAGCTATAACCTTGGTTATCGACTTGTTTATTATTGTTACAGCCCTACCACGTTCTGACCTCTTACGTCCTAATGAGCAAATGGGTTTGATACTCAATTTTGCTCTCATAAAATATATTACACATACGGGCGGTAATTGAAATAACAATATATACTTCGTCAATTGACCGTTTAAAAATATTCAGCAGATGATAACTGTTAAGACCTAAGAAATTTAATGTTGAAAAGTCGTTTGCGTCTGATTTTTGCTATCTGATCGCATCGTTTCATTGATTGACTATCTCTCATTACCTATCGATCTTGATCGGTAAGTATGTTGATCGGTATATGACTGTTAGACACTTTCGTATGTTACGCGATATCTCACAAAAGCGAGGTAGAATCCGCTCCACATTTTGAATGTGCAATCATCATATCTCGGACCAGAAGCCTATTGATTTCAGATGAAATATACATAATCCATAATTACGTATAATTAGCGAGTTATTAATTAATTGGTGATGAGACACGCGGTGTCACTATTGAGTCAGGGGGAAGGATACGCGGCGCTAGATCGATAAGTCGGCGGTCTCTAATCACTATCTCGTTTTTTTACATTGAGATGCAACCAGGTTTCACATATATCGGCTTCTTTATAAATTAAGTATTGGCTAAAATGGATTTGAACTCAATACTTACAAATTATAAAAAATGTATTGGGTATACATTCAAATGAGGTAAAATAAGACTCCTGCAGCGTGATACTATATGCACTAAACTAGTATTATTTTTTTGTGCTCAAAAGGACGGTTATTTGCATGATAACTATTGTTCTAAGCTTATTTTTCTTATAAGAGGGACATGAACTAAATGACACTGAAAATAAAAAATTTTGAATACGGAGATTTATACAAAAAATAATGCATTATAAAAAGCAGGATACTCGTACCACCATTGAAAGTTTTTGTCCTAACCATTTGTCACCTAAAGAGACGGGGAGGTGCAAATGTACAGAAAATAAATTTAGAATTAAGCGTTGGCAAATTTAATATTCAAAACTTATAAATATTCAGAATATCAATAACGTTTATTTTTTATCATAAGTTGAATATATATTTATTGAAGAGTTAAAGTTTCAAAACTCAGATATATATATAAGTTATTCGATAAAATTCGATGTATGCGGTCACTATTTAAGAGAAGCGCAATCAATTTTCTCGTAGAAAACGATCACTCAAAAATTTATAACAGTGAAGTAAAGTGAACAAATATGCCCTAAGCTAGTGCGCTTCCAATAATGAGTAAATTTCCTACTGATCCTGTCTAGAACATTTTATACAGTTTATTCGAATAAATAAATCACT